TTGACGAGATTTTCCACCCGATTTCAACCCAAAATAAATATATTTCACACTGTATATTAGTTTGTTTGGACGCCTAAATTCATATAACAACACACAATTTTCATTTTTAATGTGTTATTTTGGACAAAATAGTCCAAAATAAATTAATATTGGCCATTAAAAAAACTTTTTTTTTGGATACTGTTATGGTGAGAAAACACTGCAAGTGATTCTGTTGATAAAGTATTTGAATGAATCAAACTGAATCACAAACAATTTTTGACATTTCTGCAAACCAGTTTGGCCAGTTAGATCGGGGATTTATCAGTAATATTTTTAGTGGGGCACAGCAATATTTTACTGGGGCCCATAAAAAGGTCTAGCAACGCCTGCCATAGCATAAAAAAAAAAAAACACGTATTGGGCAGAATTTTCAGTGCATCCGTAACTTTAAGTTTCAAATTAATTATATACATAGAAGGCAAGCGAGAACATATTACACCAATACTGGCCTCCCTTCACCGGCTTCCTGTTAATTTTAGAATCGATTTTAAGTTTAAGTTTAGTTTTACTATTTAAATTCCTAAATGGATTGGCACCAAGATATCTTTCTGATTTAATACAGTTATGTACTCCATCAAGCGCACTTAGGTATGCTGAGCATTTACTTTTGGTTGTGCCTCGAATAAGGTTGAAGAGTAGGGGGGACCGTGCCTTAGCAGTGGCAGCCCCAAAACTCTGGAATAATTTGCTTCTCCATGTTAGGCAGGCCCAAACACTTTCTGCTTTTAAATCTAGTCTCAAAACTTTGAATTATTTTCTTTGGTTTTAATTTGAATGAAGTCTGAATTCTATTCTTTGGCATTTAACATGGTATGAGAGCAGGTTTTATGATTGTTTTGGTCTTATGTTTGTTTTTATGCATTTATTTTTTTTAATTGATTATGCTTATGTAGCACTTTGGTAAACACTTGTTTTTTAATCACGCTTGTTGCAGAGCATTCTGGGATTGCCTTTGACTTTGGGCCGTACCTATGACACCTTAAAACTTTGCCCTCAAATGCCTCTTACTAAGTTTTGGAACAGAGCTAATGTCTGCATGAATTTTTGGTATCCAAATGAGACAACGTGAGTCTCATTTAGATCATAATACAGAGTTTGTAAATCACAGTTATTTGAATGTCCATCAAGCATGTGGCCGTCGTCACGAAGAGGGTCTAAAATCATCCGTCTTTCTGCTCAGCTAATGACACCAACACACAAACATCCATCTTCTACTACACAGGCATCCAACACCGCATGAACACTCCTAATCACACACACCTGAACAGTGAGCTAATGTACCTCACTGCTGTTTCACAGTATAAGTAAGCTTGAAAACTGGGAACAGACTTATAGAATTTCAGCATTGACTCACTTGCTCACCAATGGATACTATGCGGTGAATGGGTACCGTCAATTGTTCCGTTCAAACAATTGTGAAAAACATCACAATAATCTACAAGAAAGTCTAGTCCATCAATGAATGTCTTGTGAAGTGAAAAGCTGTGTGTTTGTAAAAATCAAATCCATCATTAAGGTGTTTTAACTATAAAGTGTCGCGACCAGTCCATAATCCATGATAATGCTTCCTCCTCTGTTCTGCTTTTACATCAACATCCATCAACATATTTGTTTAGAACTATTTTGGATGGTTTTCGCCTGTAAATAGTGCTTGATCTGTGCATATTTCTCTCCTGATTCAGATGAAATGATGTTTTCATTGGAGAAAGTATTATTATGGAGAAAAGACTCATATTTTTGCTGGAAGCAACGGTTTGAAAATGTCTTGATGGATTTCTTTATTACACACAGCTTTTCTCTTCACAAGATGCTAACTGATGGACTGGAGTGGTGTGGGTTATTGTTGTTTATTGAGAGTCCAAACATGTTTTTATGTGATGTTTGAACTCTCATTCTGATGGCACCCATTCACTGCAGAGGATCCACAAGTGATCAAGTGAAGTAATGATACATTTCTACAAAATCTGTTCCGAAGAAGAAACAAACTCATCTACATCTTGGATGGACTGAGAGAAAATAATTTAAATTTTTGGGTGAACTATTCCTTTTAATTATCATAGAAAATATAGTAAAATAAAAATTGATCTGAATTACAATATACAGTAGCTCTGTGTTACAACTAGTTATGAGCCAAGCAAGAACCAATGATGTTTCATGTCAAAAACATTGGCTCAACCAATGGAAACCTGTTTGAAAAACCGAAAAATTGGAAACCTGTTTGAAAACATAATTTTTACTATTCCGTTTAGTGACACTAGTGGCACAGAAATTACACACTTTGCCTCTGTCACTAAAATTAACACATTCAATTCAAGTGCTAAAGTAAAACTTAAAATAATTAACTTAAGATAAAGTTAATGGCAGCAATGAAATCGGTTTTCTAAAATCAACAGGACAGTCTGTTCTCAATGAGTGCACCCAGACCTCAATGCCAGGGAGGTGCTGCAGGAAGGAGATCACGTTTAACAGGCCAGTCTGAGTCCGGAGCGGGAGGTCAGGAGGGTTGATGTGGAGCAGTGTTGCCAGACGTACGATAATTATCGTATTTGTACGATAATTTTGACCTCTTTACGATGTACGATCAATAATATGAGCTTCTGGTACGATACTTGGACATTTCCAATCTGGCAACACTAATGTGGAGGGAAGCACTATGCAGCACAGTACTGCCTGGGCAATGCCTGCTCCATCTGACAGCTCTCTCTCTCTCTCACACACACACACACACACACACACACACACACACACACACA